TCCGGAGCCAGGGGCGGGGACGCGGATCCGGCGGGGGCGGGGGCGGGGGTGGCCGCGCTAGGGGCCCCGCGGGGGAAGAGCTCCGGCTGGCGGTGGCGTGGCTGAGAGGCCACCCTGGCAATGGCCCTAACCGTGCGCCCTGGGCGTGTGACTGGGCCTCGCTCTCTGTGTCAGTGAAACGGGAATAAGACCTTTCTCCCAGGGATTTTTGAGAATTAAATCAGTTATATTCAGTGGCTGCCACTGACGGGTGCCCAGTAAACGCTGGTTCCCTCCCCGTCTTAGTTGGAGCTCCTGGGACCACTGGGCGTGGACTCAGAGTGGGGCCCCTGGGGGCAGATCCCTCTGGGGAGTGAGGCTTGAGCCTTCTTCCCTCCCCCCCCCACCCCCAGCCCCCAGTTCCAGCTGGCCAGGAACTCAGGGTTGCCAGAACTACTGAGTTTTGAAGAGAAAGTAGAAATCTAGATTTCATGAGACTGTTCCTGATTTGTTCAAACGTCCGTCATGAATTTAAAATACTACTGCTGATAATAAACACTTGCAGGCCAATTCTTTTTTTGCCCCGAGCAAGATTAGCTCTGAGCTAACATGCACTGCCAATTCTCCTCTTTTTGCTGAGGAAGATTGTTCCTGAGCTAACATCTATGCCCGTCTTCCTCTATTTTGTACGTGGGATGCCTGCCACAGCCTGGCTTGATAAGCCATGCGTAGGGCCACACCCTGGATCCCGACCAATGAACCCCAGGCCGCTGAGCGGTGTGTGCGAATTTAACTGCTATGCCACCCGGAGGGCCCCTGCAAGCCAATTCTTAGATGGGCTCTGGCTGGCAAGGCAAGTGGTCCTGGGCTCTGATACTAACCAACTTCACTGACACCTCCCAGAGGAAGAAGGGGCCTGGTGAGGCTGGGACTGGCCCCGATCACCTGGCAGGAGGCATGGTGTCCCTGTGGGTTCATCAGGACTCTGTGCTAGGGGATGCCTAGGTCCAGTCCAGTACTGTGGGAGGCAGAATTATGGCCCTCCTAAAGATTCCACATCCTAATCCCTGGGACTGTGAGTCTGTTACTTAACTCCTTAAAAGAGACTTTGCCGGATATAATTCAGGTTACTGATCAGTTGACCTCAAAACAGTGAGATTATCTTGGATTATCTAGGTTGGCCCAATGGAATCACAAGAAACCTTAAAAGCAGAAGGGGAAGGCAGGAGGGCAGGTGGAAGATTGGAAGGCCAGGAAGGACCTAATGTGCCTGGCCAGGATGCTACTGCCGTGAAGATCGAGGGCACCTGCAAGGAACTGGATTCTGCCAACAACTTAAATGAGCCTAGAAGGGAATTCTTCCCCAGAGCTTCCAGAAACAGCTCTGTCAACACGTCTATTTCAGTGGTGTGAACTCAGAGCACAGAATCCAGCCACGCCTTGTTGGACTTCTGACCAACAGATTGTGAGATAATAAATGGATGTTGTTTGAAGCCCCAGAAATTGCTTGTGGCAATTTGTGACAAACAGTAAGAGAAAATGAACACAGGACACTGGCCTGCATTTCAATCCTAGAATCGAGTTCTAGTTTTGAGGCTGGCCTGCAATGAGAATGGCATGTGGCCCCAATTCCTTAGTGGACATGCCAGGCCCTGCGTTTGCCACCACCCACCTCTTCTGGTTTTGCCCACTCGATTCTAACATCACATCCCCTGTGAGCCCTTCTTCAACTTCTCCCAGACAGTAGATTGCTTCCTATCTATGGTCCCACGCTCTTCATGAAAACCAACCGCATGGTGCATCAGTTCTTCTATTTGTATATGTTGTCCTACCCGCCTAGGCCACAAGCACCTGGCAGAGGAGGGGGCAGGAAACCTTCATGTCTGAAATAATTACTTCTTATAACTGTTTATCGTATGGATGACTGTAAAACTCTCTGCTCTTGAGAAAAGCTAATTATTCTTTTTCTATCCCAAGTTGTGACTTATGGAATGGTTGTCTTATGGTGGGGTCTTTTTAAAATGGCTTCTCTCTGGTAAAATGTAAATTGTAAAGAGTTGAAACAACAGATCAAAGATAACCACTCTTACCAAGTTCTACATCTCCCGTCACCTACACACAGTTAAAGATGCATGTATGCGGTTCTGTGCAAATGAGATTACATCCTACACTGCAGACACTGCTGACCCCTGACTTACTATCCACACCCCTCCCTCCCAGGATCCCAGACTCAGGCCAGGCCTCGACTCTGCCTGTCGCAAGAGGACAGTCCCGCTTGGTTTAGGCGGATCTATACAAGGCATTTTCCTGGCAACAGTTACCCGTCCAAGGGAAGTATGGGACTTAAATTAGCTCAGCCTGACTAAAAAAAAGCTATGGGCTTAGGGGGAGAGGTGGAGGTGTCTTTCTCTCTCTTCCCTCCCCTTCTCCTATGAATGTAAATTTTAAAAAGACGTATTTCTAACGGCTACTGGTAACCCTCTTGCAGCCAGCCTCCAGCCTCAGGGGAAGATGATGCTGGGGACAGCAGAGCAGACAGGAGAAAGCAGCCAGGTCTCTCCAGCAACGTCCGTCTCTGGACCCATCTGACCTTTGCACTCAGAATTATATGAGCTGTGTTATACAGCCTGGGAGACAGACTGAGGCAGATCTGTATGGCCGATAAAAAGATCTGCAGGGTATTAAATGGGGGTAAACTGTAATCAGTGCTTTCCTTTGAGCACACAGCAGGGGGGAGATGCATGGAGGGAGGCAGACTTTCTCCCTTTATTTTACACTTTTCTCTAAGGTTTTATTGTTAACTATATTTCTATATTACTTCTATGTGTTTGTGTATGGTAAAATCAACTGGGAGGTTGGGGTGGAATTTAAACAGCAATTTTGTCTATTTAATGAAAAAGTATTTCCTGTAATGGAAAAAATAAAGGCTGGTAATTGCGCCTGAGAATGCCTGTTCCTGGCAGCATCACTGCTGGCGGGGGGATCACACCTCTGCAGGGTGAGAATGAATCTGATTTAGAAAGCACAGCCTTTAGACGCCAGTTACCAGCATACACACCCCCTAACAACCCTTCGGGGGCACTGTGTCAGTTTGTTAGGGCGGCCATGACAAAGTAACCAGACAGGATGACTTGAACAAGAGACATGTGCTTTCTCACAGTCCTGGAGGCTCGAAGTCCAAGATGAAGGTGTCGGCAGGGCTGGTTACTTCTGAGGCCTCGCTCCTTGGCTTGTAGAGGGCTGTCTTCTCACTGTAACGTCACATAGTCTTCCCTCTATGCAAGTCTCGGTCCAAATTTCCACTTCTTATAGGGACACTAGTCATATTGGATTAGAGCCCACCCTAATGAACTCATCTTAACTTCATTACCTTTGTAAAGATCCTAACTCCACATAGGGTCACTTTCTGAGGTACTGGGGGGTTAGCGCTTCAACGTATGAATCTGGGGAAGGGGGACACAATTCAGCCCATAACAGGTACTGATGACCATCCTCACTTTAGAGCTAAGGAGGCAGAGGCTCAGAGAGGAGAATCAACCCACCCCACGTCACACAGCTTGAAAGTGGTGGCACTGAGATTGTGAACCCAGACCAACTGGCACAGAGGCTGGAAATTTCCACTCTACTCTGTTCAGTAGAGAAATAGTCACTACGTAGTTTCAGTTGAGAAAATAAAGAAACTCCAAAGAATTCTGCCTAATTGAATTTGCGAATTCTCCCCTAGAATCCCATGATTCTATGCAAAATAGCTTCTGTGACTACTTTATTTTATAAGAAGGATAAAGTTATTGCTGAACTGCTAGCAATAAGCAATATTCATTCATAGATATATGAACTAAAAGGAAAAAACCAGCCTGGTCCATATCAATGAGTTGTGTACTTCCAATAACAGTTTTTTATGTCTAATATTTATCAAAATTGCAATATTTATGTTTAGATTAATTGTATTCTACTAATATTTGCAATAATAACTTAATCCAGAAGTCACTTTAAGACTCTGAGCCAGAAATTTTTTTTTTAACTTTTTATTGAGATTATGATAGTTTACAACTTTGTGAAATTTAAGTTGTACATTATTATTTGTCAGTCATGTTGTAGGTGCACCCCTTCACCCTTTGTGCCCACCCCCCACCACCCCTTTCCCTTGGTAGTCACTAATCTGTTCTCTTTGTCTACATGTTCAACTTCCACATATGAGTGGAGTCATACAGAGATTGTCTTTCTCTTTCTGGCTTATTTCACTTAACATAATACCCTCAAGCTCCATCCTTGTTGTTGTGAATGGGACAATTTTATCCTTTTTTATGGCTGAGTAGTATTCCATTGTGTGTGTGTGTGTGTGTGTGTGTGTGTATACATGTATATATGTATATACCATATCCAGAAAAAATTTTAAACATGTGAACATGTATGTGTATACATATATATATTTTTTCCCATTACACATAGGATACATATGAACAAATTACTTATAAGCATAAAAATACATATTGAAATAGAATAAAATTCTGGAAATATACTATTAAAGAAGGGTTTGTTTATGTATTTTTTAAATGGATGGTGGGATGGAGGGTGGTATTTGAATTCTAATGAATCCCTCTGAAAGAGTGGTGTAACAATTAGATTTTAATATGTCCAATTTTAATATGTCACTTTGCTTCTGGCAATGGCTTGTTTCAGCCAAACTTCTTGCTGAGAATAACTGGAAAATTCTGACAACATATTTTTTAAAAGATCTGAGGCAGCAAGGAGCTGCAGGGGGCCAACATCCTGGAGAGAAAGAACCCAGAGTGAGCTCAAACTTGGCACGGCTTCTCCCTTCAAGGCATTTGCCAAGTGGCAAGTGGAGACTGAGAGACTGAGCAAGGAGCAGCAGGTGAGATGCTAGGAAGCTGAACAGAGATCTGGCAGTTTTTCGGGGCTGGGGGAACAAAAACTTGAGTTCAGGACCTGCCAAAGGTAAAGAGCCCCATTAATCACCTCCAGGCTTTCAGGAGG